CCCCCTCTCACTCTCCGCGAGAGAAGTTTTCCCGCGGCTGAGTTTCCAGCACGATGGGGAGGTGCGTCCTTACACTGGCTCCAAAGCTAACGCCGGCTTTAGGCTGCCTTCGTGGCAACTGACCTCCTTCCCCCTCCCCCCTTCCTCCGGGGCGCCTGATCTTCCCATCGACAGCGTCGGTGTCCTCCACACCTCATCTCTGGATCACGCTTCCTACATCGACTACCAGTCGCTCACGTCTGCCAGCGACGAGGGGGAGGACGATGCCTGCTCCTCGCCAGCCAGGTATGTCCCAGCCCCCCCCCCCCCTCTCTCTCTCTCCCTCTCGCTGATCACTCACATTGCCCCGGCCCTCCTCCCTCTCCGCAGCTCGGACAATCCCACCGGTACACCACCTACCCCATGGCATCTCTCTCCCCCCCTCCCCTCCTGCCCTCCTGCCCTCCTGACGGTCTGTGACCTCGGCTCTACCTGATCCTGACTGATCCTGTCATCCTTTCTCCCCCCCCCCCCCCCCAGACCTGATGGCTCCCGGGGAAAAGACCTCCTTCGATGTGGGCGCCTCCGCCCGGGGCGCTCCCCTGCCGGGGCCTGCCATTCCCATGGCCGCCGAAGCCGAGGAGGAGGATCTGGACAATTATTCATTCATCGACTCGCAATCGTCCAGCTACCTATCATCGGATACCAGTGATTCGCCCCTCCCGACCAACAAACGTCGAGCTTCCTTCACTGCGACTTCATACACGGCGGCCGTGGTTCCTGGCGGCAGCGGCCGTGCTGCCGGACCGGATGCCCTGGCCGGCCCTCCCTCCAAGATGGTTGCCCTGTCTCTCGGGGCAGCCGATGCCGGCCTCCCGCCTCGGCCACCGGGGGGGGAATTCTTGCGATCGTCCGCCGTCCCCCTGCGCAGCTCCAGCCAGCAGCTCTTTCATCCCGACCAAACGGCCGCCCTTCCTCCCTCCGGGCCCGGCAGCGGGTCGACCACCCTGGACCGGGTCTTCTCCTCCGAGCAGCTGACCGCCACCGCGTCGGCCCACTGTAATACGGACTTTCTGGAGGCCGCGCCCCCGGCACCCGTCGTGGTCTCCGGCGCCAGCACGCCCACCTCCGGTTCCAGCTCCTTTCATCACTCGCTCAGCCAGGGGTCCACCCCCATGGCTGACTTGGTTTCTCCGATGATTGGCTCTCTGGCGGTGGCCCCGGTGGCCGACCACCCCGGGGCCGTCTTACAGGGCGCGACCTCCCTGCAGGCATCGCCGGTGTCTGACCACCTATATGACGAAATCGCCATCGGCTACGACCCGGTTGGGTTCCCCGGCGACCCGACCTACCCCCGGTCGCTGTCCGGCGAGCGTCTCTTCCATCACCACCACGAGCCCCTGCATCACCACGAGCACCTGCACCATCACCACTCGGCTCCCTCTTCCTATCCTCCCTCGCCTTCATCCCTGTCGTCCACCCTGCCGGACTTCGCCACCGATGAGACCTTCCTTCCGCCCGGGGTCTTGCTGGACATGGACGATCCAGCCGGCGGGGGCCAGTCTACGGGCTTTGGCTCCTCGAGTGGACTCTTCCTCCAGGATGGCGACCTGTCAGGCCTATCGCCGATGCCGGTCTCTCGATTGGTGTCCACGGGGTCCATCCTGCAGGCGGTCAAAATCCGCTCCGGCGTGGCTTCGGCCATGGTGTCCGTGTCGGCCGGTGCCTTCGGTTCCGACAATGAGGCTGGCTTTGAATCCTGCTCGGACACCAGCTGCGGGCCGGACCTCGATCCGGGCCTCGGGGAGATGAGCACCAGCCAATTGGATGCCCCCGTGTCGCCGGGATCCGCATTGGCCATCAGCCGGCTGTTCGATTTCGACGAGTTCGTTGCCGAGCTCGAGGCCGGCCCCCAGGAAGTCCATCGGGAGGCTCAGATCCCCTCGTCTCTGATCGACAGCAGCGATGGTCATGCCAATGGCGATGACGATGGCGATGACGATGATGATGACGATGACGACGACCTGGAGGATGGCAACGAGGAGGACGACGAGACCGAGGACTTTGACGACATCCAGGGCGAGTACGAGGAGGAGGAAGATGAAGCGGATGACATTGCCGCCGCCGAGTATGCGGCCCTCCTGCACGAGCAGATGTCCCCCGATGGGTCGGACGCCGAGTCGGATGGCGCTTTCATTCCTTCTTCCAATGCCGAAGGCTCGCCCGTCAGCGACGACCAGCACATCCTGATTGGTGTGCTGGCTGCGCAGGATGACGATGGTGATGATGATGATGCTGATGCTGATGATGGTGGCGAGGAGGAGGACGATGAGTTCACCGCCTCCTCGGAGTTGGATGTCTCCGGGGATGAGCTTGCCCTGGCTGCTGCTGCTGCTGCTGCCACCACCATCCTGGACCGGGCTAGCTCGGACGACGATGATTCCGACATCGGGTCACCCGGGTCCGAGGTGGAGTTCCTCCTGCTCCAGGGCCATGGGCACCTTCTGCATGACGTCGAACTTGCGCCGCTGGGGTCCGGTGGCGGGGGTGACTCGGACATCGAGGCCACCGGCCTGGTGGCCCTGCAAGGCAGTGATTCCAGCGTCGACGTGGGCGTTTTCTCCTTCAGTTCAGATCTCGACGAGGATGGTAGCCTCAGTCGAGTCATTACCTCGGCCATGGCGTCAGCCTTGACAGGCCGCCAGTCGGAGGCGGCCGGTGCCTCCGAATCGGACGTCGACATCGAGTCCTCCTCAAGCACTCTGGATTGCAGTTCCAGTGACTCGGATGGCAGCGACGATGGTGACAACGACGATGACGGTGATGACGATGATAGCATCCACCCAGTTGTGCGTGACGCTCAGTCTTCCGTTTCTCTCTCTCTCTCTCTCTCTCTCTCCCTCTCTCTCTTTCCTTCTCTTGCTCTCTCTTTCCTTCTCTTGCTCTCCCTTTCCTTCTCTTGCTCTCCCTTTCCCTCTCTTGCTCTCTCTCTCTCTCCCTTTCTTCCTCCTGCTCTTTCCCTCGACCTTCCTCCTGCTCTTTCCCTCGACCTTCCTCCTGCTCTTTCCCTCGACCTTCCTCCTGCTCTTTCCCTC